GATCTACGGTGTACTTGACAGTGTTAGAGTATTTCAAGTCTGCAGCAATTTGTCAGATAGTCCACCCAGTATCACATAAATTTTTTTATGCAAACTCTCTGCTCTTCTGACAATTATCTATGCTTTTTGGGCCATGGCATGACAACAAAACTTAATATATATATATTGTGTTAAAAACTGTTTATATTAAGGTTTATTTGTGGAGTGCTATTAAATTGATTTCTTCTAGCATATACTGGTACCATACGCAAGCTTCTTTCAATATAGTTAAGACAGTTATTTCAGACCCTAAATTTGATCAGTATGTTCGTTCAAGCAGAACCCTTATGACATATCCTTGGTACAAGTATATGGGAATTCTAAACAATGATAAGTATTCTCACCCTGGCTCATTCAATTGTCAAAAGGGATCAGTGAAGCATTATCATAATGATGAAATTTATGTTCTGTAATGGCATGAAAGAATTAGTTCTATAAAATGAAAAGAATTACATTATTATATTTCTCTTGTCCTAGCACTTTTGCACAGTACTGTATGCTGACTTCAGAAAAATTAAAAAAAAAATCCTTTCAGTAATTTATAGACCAAATAAGAACACTGACATCTTATATTTCTTTTTAATACCCATGCTTAGTTACACAACATTAAATAACTTCTACAAAAAGTAGGTGGAAGCAAGGGGGTGTAGGTTTCAACCCCTCTCTTAAATCTCTCCTACTTATACAATATTAAATAATATGGTTATTAACCCTATCACCCCGGGTATCATATACTGTGCATTACAAAAGGTTTTAGTGTCTTGCATTCAGAATTATATCAAACTACTTTATATTTATGTTATGCCCATTGGAATAGCATAAAATCTTAGCTAATAATCCATATTTTAATAAATTACAAGTTTTAAGTTCTTAAGTCCACAAAGCAATATTGAAAAAAATCCTGAAAAATCTTCTCTTACGTTTTATGATATATTACCTATAACCAATAGAAAGTCAAGGTTTTCATCTATAAAATGACATACTGTATTAAAGATATTCTTTTCTGAACAGAATATCATTAATTTCACTCACAGTACAAAATTTGTTCTCGTGGGAAAGTTAAGGGCTAGCTTGGATGAATTTGTAATAGCTCTTGTTGCATAGTTAGAAAGCTAGGAAAATTTTGAGAGTTAGGGGAATTTGTCTACTTTTTGCATGTTATTAGTCTATATAATTTGGTGCATTATTTAATTAAATAAAAATTATTAAGTGCATTATTATCATTACCATAAAAAATCAGGCTTAACTGTCCTCGACAATCAAGGGAAAGAAAAAAAGAAGATTGGATACGTACTTTATTTCTTGTTTTTCATATTTATTCTTTATTTATTACTAAAGTAACTAAAATCTAAAAATACAAATCTTTTTAAGTTATTTAAGACTAGATTAGGTAAAATAATTAATAATAATAATAATATAATTAAAA